AAAAAAAAAAAAAGAATGCCAAGTCTGGCATATATACCAAAGAGCACTCGTATTTTTTTATTCTACCTGGCCCTATCACCAGACCTCAAAATCTATTCCATGTGGGAGCCAGATGATCACTCATTTTAAGCCTTGTGGAGAATGGAATAAAAAACCAAATACAATATAAAGTTCAATTCCTATACTTAAATGATCTTCATAAGAAATCCTTGTGAATTATGCAACATAATTCCAACAAGGAGCTAAAATCTTACCTCTTCATTTTCCATCCTGCCTCTGATGTAAATACCAACATGCACATAGGCAGAAACAGTTATGAAGGAGAAATAAATAAACATGGAGAATGCAAAAAGTAAATAATTAAGGCTCTATAAAAAGACACAAAAACACAAGATTCTCCACAAATTCATTTGAAAAATGCAGACAAGTCACCTGCTAGTCTTCTGCTACTGTATGTATGCTGATATCACCCAAATCATTGATACGGTTTTTACGCTGCTCTGAATTGTAATACTGATAACAAAAAATCATGCAATAGTTTACTCCTTAAGAAGACATCCTAAACTTAGTTTTGTATGTGGTGCAAAGAAAGCAGAAATCCATTACGGTGCACTGACTGCTGTTATAAAAATAATCTTAATCTTTTAATTCTTTACCCAAATTCCCCAAGACTTTTGTAAGAGCTATTTACGCTATTTATAACATAACTGGCTATTTAATACCTACTTGGCTTGTTAGTTGAAGGCTAATTATTGGCTTTTTAAAGAGTACTTGTACAACTTGAGTGAACCACTGTCTTTACCAGCTTTAAGCTCAAATATATTTTCATGTTCAAATTTCCAGTGGTCTCAATGTTTATCCTTCTGTTTTTTTTTTAACAATTTATTTAAGTCAAGATCCAAATAAGTTCATCACTTTGCAACTGATCAATAAGGTTTTTAAATCTGTTTTAATTCAAAGGCTCCCCTTCCAACTCTTTTTTAATCTTACAGTTTATTTGTTAAGAGAAGCCAAGTTGTTTGTTCTCTTATTTCCCAGTTTGGATTTTGCTTATTTCATTTTCTAGAGTAGTTTGATGTGTTCCTCTCTTCTCTAGCTATGTTGTAAAATGGCTGGATCTGAAGTCTTGATCATATTCAAATTTGATTATTCTTCCATCAGAAGATACCCCAATGACTCATTATCTTTTTGTGATGTTCAATGCCTAGATCCATCAGATTGTTTAGAGTTTGTAATTTGGTGATATTCTATCATTCTTTCTTCATTTACTACTGAGGTACATTTATAAAAAGACCAATTTAGGCCAGGCACAGTGGCTCCCACCTGTAAACACAGCACTTTGGGAGGTCAAGGCAGGTGGATCATCTGAGGTGAGGAGTTTGAGACTAGCCTGGCCAACATGGTGAAACCCTGCCTCTGCTAAAACTACAAAAATTCACCAGGCATGGTGGCGCATGCTTGGAAGTCACTCAGAGGCTGAGGCATGAGAATCACTTGAACCCAGGAATCGGAGGTTGCAGTGAGCCAAGATCATACCTCTGCACTCCAATCTGGGCAACAAAAGCAAAACTCCATCTCAAAAAAAAAGCTGATGAAAAAGTGGTA